AAGGGAAAGAAAAAGGAAAAACAACAATAAAAAAAAGGTTCACACACAAGAGAAAAATCTTATCTGAATTTAAGAATAACTTACTAAATTATTGATACCATATTCATCTAAATGAAATGTGAAACTGTTACTAAAGCTAACACATTTTTACTGGTTTTCCTGGTTTTTTTTTCTGTTATGAATTCCAACAAGTATAAGAAAGGGGAAATTATTTTTTTTTTTAAGGTATGAATGGCAAATATGATTTCAAATAACACATAGCTGGCTGACGGCAACAGGTAACTTTATAACTCCACCTTTTCTTTCACGAGAACGAACAATCTAGTGAGAAACAGAATCTAGGAAGCTGTTTTGTTTTGGGTTTTAGCAGTGAGCATTTCAGCAGTAGAGGTCAAGCAAAACATATCTTTTCCCATAGCAAGAACTTTCCAAGGCTTGTGAAATGGAAAATTATGGAGAAAGATTTCTTTCTTAAACTATTCTTCTACAGAATAACAAGAGAAATTGAACTGACGTGTACACAACTGAACTGGAAGATGAACGCAGTTTAAAAGAATTGGAATGCAGTTTAAAACATCTTCCTTGGTTGTTCTGAAAATACGGGATCATTGACAGTAATGTGTTTTTTAAATTATACAACTAAAAGAGCAGCCTTCAAGTTACCTGATTTTGAAATTACTGAGATATTAGCATATACATATAATAGCTGACATCTTGGTAGAAAAAATCATCCCATGCAGTATCAATACCCATGGCTACACTAGCATCAATTTGAAATCATAAGAAATACTGATATGAAAAAAAGTCCATTTAAAGAGCGGTTTGAATGGTTATAACTTCCAAAACCTGGGGTAATCTTGAATTGCTGGAAAGAAGAGAGGAAATTCAGAAACTTAGGTCAAAATAATTATCTGTTCTCTTCTTTTGGCCATAGTCCTACCAAGATTCAGTAACGCTGGGGTGTTTACCCAGAGGTGTTTTCCTTTTACATATTTATGGCTGGGGTAATCATTAAAGTGATGTAGGCTACCAGCACTGGTGTTAGCTTATTGACCAATGCTTGTCTTAGTAATGCCACCTGTTCTGCCTAATTTAATTAAAAAAGAAAAACAACAAACAGAAACATACAGCTAAAAGAAAGACATCTTTGCATTCCTCACAGATAGAAAACTGAAAAAGCAAAAGCTATATTCATAGGTGAAAATATAGCAAAGGCTACAGGGCAATCAGGACAGTTAAGATCATTTTTGTTGCTGTGGCCAGTTCAGGCTACCGAAGTCGGAATCAGTTGTGGAAGCACTTTGGGTGGCTTGCTTTGAATGAGGTGTGACAACATTGCTTTACCTGTTCAACCATTAGGATATCTTGGGCTTTCCCTGCTCCTGCAGTTTCAGTGCATGGAATCCTACATGCACAAAGATCAAGCCAAGCAACTCAAGAAGAAAAATTCACAAGTGCCTGCCTATTTCCTGCCCTCTAAGCAAAGCACTGAATTTGTGCAGCTTTAGCAGTTTTTATGGTGCTGTATTTGTGGTGGTTGTGGTGAGATTAAAACCACGTGCAGCGCCGTCTCCACGCTCTGGCGTAAAAGTACTGCTGTGTGCTAGCAGGGCTGGCTTGTGCTGCCATCGGTGTCAGCAGAAACAGAGCGAGTCCCTTGCCTGGACTCTGGAAGCCCAGTGGTTTCTCTGGCCCTTGGCACCATGGGGAACCAAAAAGTAACTCTCCCCAAAGCAAATTTCATCCTAATGCACACTCGTCATTAACAATCTACTTCTAAAATAAACACGCAAACACCCTCACCCCCCAAACCAGACATTTCCTATATAATGTGACTGTTATCATGAGGAATGTAAGCTAAATTTAAATCTTCTTTCCCTAAATAATATTAACCTCCTTTCCAGTCAGCCAGATTTCAAATTGTTTTGTTGTTTATGTTGCTTTCTGCTTCTGAGTGCCTGTGTTTCCAGGAATAATTGAGTGACAACTAATTACAGTCTTCTGATCACATAAAGGAAAATAAAGAAAGTAGAAAGTAACTAAAAAGCTAAAAAAAAGGCAACATCACAAGTTCTGCTTCTCTCTAAATGACAAACAGCACTTCCCCACTGTGTTACTAAAACTTATAGATCATCTTACAGACAAAAGAAAATAAATTCCTTGCATATGCAATATCTTTTGGCAAAAAAATGAACTGAAAACTGCTCATCAGGCCAGCTGGATAGAGGATGCTCACACAATCTTCTATCAGACTTCATCAGACCAAAGTGTTTTTCAGCAACAGCAGCCAATTGAGAACACTACGCTTCAAGGAAAAACAATGACACATCGAGTGGGGACAACTAACACAGAGATCGGCGTCGCCTTCTCATTTGGCTAAGGACGCACAGAGAGGGACTAGCAAACACCATATGCTTTACCTGACCGGGCATGATGCCCTAGAGCCGAACCGCAGGCAATAAACACGAGTTTGCCAGCGCGGCCATTCAGACAAAGACGAGACGTCCCGCTCTAGGAGTTTCTTCGCCATTTGTAAAGTTACACCTGAAGGAGGGGTACCGCAGCCTGGCTCCCTGGGCTCCTGACCGCTCGGAGAGCATCTCTCCGTGAGCACAGCACTAATGCTATTTAGCATAGACCACAGGTTCGGAGAAAACAATCTCGGAGCAGCTAATAACCAGGCAGCGTTATTGTGAGCAGCAGCAACACCTGAGTGGAAGGGTGGACAACTACCACGCGGCTCTCCCATTTTCCAGCTGTGCCGTTTTCACCCGCTGTGCAAATTCAAGCTGCCGAACCCAGTTGCAAACAGAGAATAGGAGCTACTTAAATTCCCATTTCTCCAGCACACTAAAGAAATCAGACTTTTCCCAAGCAGTGCGACAAAAAGAGCTGTATTTATCAGGGAGCTACAGTTCCCTGCCCATCATGCCTTGAACAGCTGTAGTGAGTGAGCTGGTTTCTGACGGACAGCCAAGACATGTAATCTGAATCACACCATCCCACTGCTTATTCAGTGCCGATAGCTGGATGCTACCCTCATCTCGCTCGCTTGCTTTTTTTTTTTAACGTTTTGACACTAGTCCTGAAAAGGAAGGATTTAAGTTAAACCCTTTTCAATAACGCAAATGTGTTTTTGCAATTAAAGCCACACAATTAGCATTGACAAGCTCAGGTCAGCAGAACATAGATTATGCCGTTCAAATGCTCTGCCACTCTGCCTCCAGCAAAAAGCTGCAGGAGAGGCAAAGAGGAAAAAAAAAATCTCCACACGTTATTTAACAACTTGTGCTCTGACGCACTGCACCACTTGTGGATTTGTGGAGGGAGGTTCATTTATTTATTTACTTCAAATCTCTTTAGCTCTGGCCTCCTTCTCCACTGCTTCTATTCCTTCAAGACAACAAGAAATATTCTTCAGGGCAAGAAGGCTGGTAATGTTTAGCAGAATTAACTTCTCAAAAAAATCTCAAGCAAATTAAAAAAGGTTCAAAATCCTTGCCTTAAAAATGTTTCCCTTCATTCTTCGCCAAAAAAGTATTTGCTTAACATCTCCCTCGCTCAGCCACTCTTACTGCCTAGACACAGAAATCACAGATTTCTCTATCCATGGGATGACACAGTGATTAATTTTAATTGAATACTGCTGATTTTAAAGGTATAAAAAGTGTGTGTGCACATGTATAGATCACAATACCAGAAAGCTAAGTGTAAAAGCTAAAAGAACTTCTCTTGCTAGTTTCTACTCAGCTGTACTTAGTTGTTTTCTCAGAAATGTCTTTATTTCATTAGTATAAACATTTGCACCTACAGATCTTTAATATTAACATGATTACTCCCTTCTCTCTGTAAATAGTCAGAAATACCCATCTATTCTAAAAACAAAAGTGGCATCATAGCAAAACATAAGCAAACAAATCACTTTACCAGCACAATTGATGACCATCACATCGTAAGTGCACTGCTGATTTTGGACGTGGGATCTTGATCCCATTTCTACATCATCTCTCAAGAAAACCTAGGTTTCATTGCTATAAATTATGAAGTCTGCAACTGAAGCTTTCTGTTTGTATCTAAGTGCCACATGTATGGTTATGGCATCATTTGACTGACAATAGTACTTTAAAATTAATCTGCACAATCTGATTCAAATATTCCTGGTCTGCTTCACTCTATTGCTTTCAATGGTTATGAGAAATAATGGCCCTGACCTTGGAAATAACATATGATACAGTGTGATAGAATTTCATATAAAGCTGAGTTCAAGTCAGTATTTATATATAAGTCTAAAACACCATATTTACATTCGTTTCCAGCACAATGTGAGGTAAGAAGCACTGGAAATCCCCAGGACAGCAATGGCACGTTCTGTTGCCCTTCTCTATGTCAAGTTTATTCCTTCTGCAGGACAAAAGGATTCCCATAAGAGGCTGGGAATTCCCAGACTGGAATTCCCAATTCAGGAAACCCATGCGTCTTGCAAAATACTAACACAGGATTCTTAAAAAAACAAAAGCGGGGGGGGGGGGGGAAGAAAGTTAAATATCTATCCGACGTCCCTTGTGTTTAGCAATACGTTCACTGCTTCAGGGCAGAAAATCAACAGTCCCCTCCTGCTAGCACTAACAGCACATATATACTTACGTATATTTACATGCACATGTACACACACACAGTTTTTTCCCCCCCTGCCAAGGCACTTGTGATACAAAACCAAGCTATTTGTTGAGTTTCAGCTGTGGACTTGTACCCAGCTGAAAATGTTCCTTTTAAAGCCCGTTTAATTTGAATTGTGCTTCCTTATTAGTTTTTATAATTCAATTGAAAAGCAGCACACATTATTCAGCACACTTTATTCTACAGGTGACATTAAAAAAAAAAAACAAAAAAAAAAAACCAAAACCCAAACCAAACCTGTGACCTGTAGTTTCAGTTACACCAGGGAGAAATTTGTGTGGAATATATAATGAAAATGCAGATAGATAGATCACATTTCTTACCATGTCCCCAGGCTTGACAGAAACTGCCACCACTGCTCCAGGCATGGGAGATCTCAAAATGCTGGAGGTGTCCTCTGCTGCTTTCTCTGGCATGTACTTGCTCAGCTCTGCAGCAACCTTCGTCAGTATTTGTAATTTGTACTAAAGAATAGGAAGAGGAATGTTTTAGAAAACTGCACCTTGGTGAATTCCAGTCAATAATCTGCACTATTTTACGACATGTTTTTATATCATACATCTGTTATCTGTTCTTCACAGGAGTGTCTGAAAATCACCGTTTGACATCTTTATTCAGAGTTTCATTTTTAGAATGCAGAAAGAAAAATATGCAACCGCAATCTGCAGCAATGAGCACATAAAAGGAAAGAATCAACTACAGTAAAGAAATGTCAGATACATTTAAAAATTGGGGGTAGAGAGGGGAGATACAAATTTAAAAAACAGAAATATCCTTACACTTATTGCACATTATCTTCAGTGGATAAGGAATATTGAGGGATTTGCTTCCAGTGCTGTGCTGAATTTGAAAATGACCTTTTGGGAAAGTCTGCCAGATTTTTCAATGACATGATTGATTTTAAACATTATGTTTACTTTTTAAACATTTCTTTTTATCATGTATTTAATGTTTGAAGTTAATAACTTGCTTAGATTTTGCGATTAAAACATATTAAACAATTTCAATTCCTTTTTTTTTTTTTCATGCACAGGCAGACTGATCTAACACTGTGGTTGTATTGAATATACTTTATCTGTAATAAAAACTGTTCGGCAGCCGTTACCTACCTTGAGAAAAAAAAATGTTTTCGCTAGTATGTTTTATAGCAATTAGAAATGGAAAAGAATATGACGACCCTCGAGCGTCTGAGAGCACCCCTTTAAACAAAACCTTGCCGAAAACATAGATGTGCGTACCCTCATTTCAGCTCCAGGCTTTTAGTTTTTAAAAACTTGTAATCCCTTTGACAGATAATTCATTGCACTTAGACAGATGGCCTTCACATTTGTCCCAGTGCACTTGAAAATGAATGCAAAAAGCCAGTAGATGGCAGCAGGTCTCTGCAGGAAACTCCTGCCTCACCAAGGCCAGCACCACACTTCATCAATAATTTAAACAAAGGTTTTAATAATAAGCATTGGGTGAACGGCATTTACAATTCAAATGTGTATTTTGCTGATGTAAAGTTCAACACCTTGCTTTGAACAGTATGTTTTCCTCCAAAACAATTAGCTATTGTTTTATTAGCAATAGAACGTCTTTACTTTTCATTTTTACACAGACAGAAAAAATCCAATATCCTTATGGTGAAGGTAAAGGGGGACTCTACCTTCTGCTTCTGTAGAGAGTAGAACAAGGTATTTAGAAATACATGCAAAAGGTGATTAATTCTGCAATGACATCTTTTAAAAAGCAGCTTTCAAAGCCAAATTAAAAAGACAAAACAAAGGATTATCATCCTCCATAAATGGCGTTTGGACACGCAAGATTATGTGCAACGAACAGTGCGGCCGTTCAGTTAGAAATACTTGCTTCTAATCAGAAACACCAGCAAATGGTTAAATGAACCAATCCCCCACCACCGCCCCAGTAAATGCAATAAAATGCCACAACAATACTCCCTGAAGCTGTAAGTGGCACCCAAAGATTTGAGAACCTCTTCCCAAACATGTGCCTTGGTTACAATTGATATGGCACAGAGAAACCAGCACCATTTCGTATGCAAAAAGCCGCTTTAAACTCCAAGCCTCCTGCAGGCATCATCATGACAATTAAGACTGTGCCGCTCACATTTTCCAACCCAAAATGCAGCTAGTTCTCTCCCGGCAGAAGCAACTACATTCAATGCGGTGTGCTCCTTGCAGTTTCTTTTCCTAAAAGTAAAGCGTACGTGTGCGTGCATACGCGTGCACGTATGCACGCTTGCATGTATGCTGTAGGGAGAGGGGAGGTGATGCCTATAGGAGATTTGATGACATAAGCCACAAACAGAATTGCAGCAGTGTGACAAGTCAAATAATAACATCTTATGCATGTTTCTTTACTCTTGAGTGTCTGTTTTGCAATCAAGACATACAAGTGTCTGCCAGTTTCTGAAGGATATGATCCTTAAGTGAAATTACTGTGCAAATAAAAGCTTTTTACTCCTATTAAAATTCATCTGAGTCATAAGTGGCAAGGAAAAAAAGCTTGCAGAGTGTATTCTGCTGTCAATCTAATAAACATTCTGTGCAGAGGGACTATTTATCAAAGATAAATTGTACTTAAAAGTCCTTCATTAAATCTATGGGGGGGAATATAATTACACCAAATTGCACAGTTTCAGTATCCATGGTTAGTGTCGTCTTTGTACTCAGAGTTTGAAAATAAAAAATAAAAAAGGGAAAAAAGGAAGAACACAGAAGTAAGTTAGATTTGTGGACTGTATTGTTGCCTCTCGCAAAAGACTGTTTTGTTATGACTTCAAAGGATTAGGTTTAGATGCAATTTTTTTTTTTTAAGGCACATATAACACTTCTGAGCTGCCCAATTTCAAAATTTAAACTTAAAATGAGAGCTAGTCCTTCTGCATTCATCTAGGTTACGGTATTTCGCAGGGACTGAAATACAAAATTCCCTATGCGCTCCACAACGTACAGCAGTGGGGGGAAAACCATGTTCCTCAGTATGCTGCACTTTAAAGCTCAGTTCTCCACACCAAGTTAAAATATCCCTACCAAACATTGTTTTTACTATCTTTACAATTTTCATATCTTTTAGATTCCTTTCTCTGCAGGATTCCTGCTTTGCTTGGAGTGAGATGTAAGAGTCAGTACACTCAAAGCTTTAAAACGCGGGTCTTTGTTATTGATGAGCTGTTCCTTTTCCTTTTGTATTTGTTTATTGTTCTTTAGTCTGTTTGGGGGATAAGCAAGTTACTGTAATCAAAAAGTAAAAAATAACAACAGTAAACTTCTGGGGAAAGGCCTTTTTTGGCACAGTTGGTTCACAAATGACCTTTCAGAATATAAAAAGACAAAGCCGCAAAGAAAGGTTCCTTCTTTAAGATTACCTTTGATGTATTTCTGCTGCTGGCCCCCACTAAATACCCACAAAAGTGTCCCTTTGTAAGGCTGTGTCCTGTGTGCAGGGGGCTGTTCACCTAACCAAGGTGCAGCCTGCAGCTCAGCCAGGGCCACAAGACTCTGGAAGACCACGTCAAACAACGCCGGCCAGTGCTGCTACAACAAAGACAATTAAGAATATACCACGTTTTTTCATTACATGATTCACACCGCTGCTATGCCTTTCATTTAGCCAGGACAATGCTGAACATGCGAAGCAGAAGTTTTGGTATGCTACTAACGGAGCGCAGTCATGTTTTCTTCCTCTGTCCTCAGGAGGAGGAGGGAGATGGGAGAAAGAAGGGGCGTAAATTGGGGAAGTTTGGGTTATAAATAGAGAGCAGAAGGCTTCCACTGGCCTAAACCAGAAGACACATCCGTGGGAGTCATAAATAGATCGCGAGTGGACTCTCGGAGCATGAAAATCTGCTAGCCATCAGATCTGCGCTGATGAGTAGTTGTCACCAGCCACTGCTCCGCTCCGCAGGGCTCCAGAGCCTGATTCTGCCAGCCAAAGTCAAGTCAATAAAGAGGTAGCCGAAAGGAGCCACACAGCTCTTGATGGCACAGAAAACAGGGGTTGCTTTTCCACAAGACTGTTGGGAGTCCACAATCAGTCGACAAAAGTTACAGTAGGGAAAAGTGATGTTGCTTCAGTTTTCCAAGGGTAACAGTGTCCTGTCTTACCTCGCCCACTAAATGAATTGTAATGCCAAACTGCCTCTTGCAACCAAATCTCCGTGACGAAAAAGAAGAAAACAAAAAGCTGTAACAATAGCAGTGCAAAGGAGTGGGGGGGTGGGGAGGGGGAGCGCAAATACAGTGAAAATTATACCTGGGGTTTTGTGGATGGTTTTTGTAGATCTATTCCGTACTGATCCCCCAAGTCAGTAGACAAGTAGTAGACCAGCTGCTACAAAAAAGTTGGCCATCTGACCCCATCTTTGCATAAAACCAAGTTCAGTAGTTTGCACAGATATGGTTCCTTTGCCGTGTAAAACAGAATATTGTCAACCTTCAGTAAAATGCTCAAAAACTGCGCTCTGTTACATCTCACATTAGTTTATTAAATATGATCTTCCCTGTACACCTGAAACTCATGTCCGTAGAAGCTGTAAATGTTCAAACTCCATTGGAGATTTTATAGAGCAATCTAATGTATCGCTACCCATATGTTACTTACGGTAGTGTTTGGACTGCTGACCAGATGTGGATTTTCAGTACGCTTTACCTAAATGTTCAACCGCGTTTTCCAAACGTCTGTCGTTCTTGCGGTCAGAAGGCTGAAAATCTTAGGTAGCTCAGATTTCAGCAGAGAAACTGTCTGCTGTGCGTCTTCATTATTTTCACTAACCTTACAGTCTCATTTTTGGACTCAGTGAAATTTAGTAACTGTGGTCACATAATTTCCCTGTAACATTCCTAATCTGCATCCTGCCTCAAGTCACTTAACTGTTGTCACCTGCGCTTTGACCATCATAGATTCACAAGTAGTACGTTATTCAGTATTCATTCAAAGCAATACTAAGCAACGTTCCAGTGGCGAACACAACGAGCACACTGCCTTTTTTATTAACCATTATGCATTTTAACATCGTGCCCATACCCTCGCTTACATTTCCACCGCGGCATCTGAACAGGAGAACGATGTATTTATTCTGTATGACTTGAGGGCGTCAGGCACCACCTTCCTTCAGAGTCAAGGATTTCTTACTCAACAAGGAGATAAATGACATTCTGCAAATCACGCAGGCTTTTTTCCCAGCTCTGAGTTCTAGGGCTAATTTACTTCCACAGGGCGGTGGTGAGGACTGGCATTAACACCTGCACAAAATAACAGCACTTTTAGTCTAACGGAGGAGCACGCACTCGACACGCTACGGAGACGGTTTAAAAAAAAAAAAAAATTAAAAAAAAAAAAAAACCACCAACACTAACCCAGCTAAAAACCCAACAAAACGGAAGAGCCACAAAACCCATGAGCCTCTAGCAGCAGCACAAGGGAAAGGAAAAGAGAGAGAGAAGCCTCACCACCACCG